TCCCTATTTGCTGATGATATGATCCTATACCTAGAAAATCCAAGAAACTCAGTAAAAAAAAAATATCTACTGGAACTAATTGAGAGATTTAGCATTGTGGCAGGATACGAGATCAACATCCAAAAATCAGTTGGATTCCTCTACATTGGCAAAGAGATGATTGCTGAAAAAGAAATAAGGAAATCAATATCATTTACAAAAGGTACCAAAAAAATAAAATATTTGGGAATAAATCTTACCAGGAACACAAAAAACCTGTACAAAGAAAACTATAAAAGACTATTTCAAGAACCCATAAAAGATCTACATAAAAGGAAGAACATCCCATGCTCTTAGATAGGAAAATTGAACATTATGAAAATGTCCATTCTGCCCAAAGCAATCTATACATTCAATGCAATCCCAATTCAGATACCATCAACATTCTTTAAGGATATGGAAAAAACAATCACTAACTTTATATGGAAAGGAAAGACACCTCAGATAAGCAAAGCACTACTGAAGAAGAACAAAGTAGGAGGTCTCACACTGCCAGATCTCAAAACCTACTATACAGCCACAGTAGTCAAAACTGCCTGCTATTGGTACAATGACAGACACATACACCAATGGAATAGAATTGAGGACCCAGAAATAGATCCATCGACCTATGGTCAGCTGATCTTCAACAAAGGCCAAAATACATTAAATGGGGAAGAGAATGTTTGTTTAATAAATGGTGCTGGTAAAACTGAATACCCATGTGCAGAAAAATGACACAACATCTGTGCCTCACATAATACCCAAAAACTAACTCCAGATGGATCAAAGACTTAAATGTGAAACCTAAAACTATCAAGTTTCTCAAGGAAAAACTAGGGGCAAATTTAGGGCTCCTAATATATGGCATAAATAGACTATCAAGCATAACCCAAAATGTACAAACAGCAGAAGATAAACTAGATGAATGGCACCTTCTAAAAATTAAATTTTTATGTGCTTCCAAAGACTTCTCCAAAAGAGTCAAAAGAGAACTTAACAGATGTGGAAAAAATATTCAGCAATGACATATCTGACAAAGGACTTATCTCTAGAATTTATAGAAAACTCCAACACCTTAACAACAAAAAGACAAATAATCCAATTTAAAAACGGGCAGAAGACATGAATAGACACTTCACCAAAGAGGATATTCATGCGGCCAATAAACATATGAAGAAATGCTCACAATCATTAGCTATTACAGAGATGCAAATCAAAACAACAATGAGATATCATCTTGCCCCAGCACTAGTAGCACAGTTTAACAAAACAGAAAATAAATGCTGGCGAGGATACGGAGAGATTGGGATTCTCATACACTGCTGGTGGGACTGTAAATGATACAACCACTGTGGAAAGCAATATGGCAATCCCTTAAAAAGCTGGAATTAGAAATACCATTTGAACCAGCCATTCCATTACTAGGTATATATCCTAAAGAAATGAGAGCCAGGACAAGAACAGATATATGCACACCCATGTTCATTGCAGCACTATTTACAATAGCCAAAAGATGGAAACAACTTAGGTGTCCATCAACTGAAGAATGGATAACCAAACTATGGTACATACACACAACAGAATACTATGCAACCCTAAAGAATAATGTAGAATCTGCAAGAAACTGCATAACATGGATGAACTTGGAAGACATTATACTGAGTGAAATAAGTCAATCACAGAAGGACAGATATTGTATTAGTCCATTAATGTAAAAAGTCAAGGAAAGGTGTATATATGGAGAGAAATTTTCTTTGTTGGTTACCAGGGGTGGGAGGGTAGGGTAGGGAATACTGTTAGATAGGTAGAGGCAAGTATTGATTTGGGTGAAAAGAAGGGCAATGTACAAAATGTAAGTGATCAACATGGTGGCATTGAGGAAGAGGAAGACATAGAGAGATACATGGGAGGTACAGACAACAAAGATAAACCCTTTTGCACATACGATACTGCATTGTCAGTGAAGGCAAACATGGATATATGGGTGGAGAGATGGGTGGACAGGCTGTTTATTAGGTGTGTCTATAAAACGGGGAGTGTGCCTAAGATCATGTATAGGATTGGCAGACAATGTTTCTACAAGCGTATTGGTATGTTCTGTAACAATT